AGAATGTTGTTAGCTCTAATGTCTCTGGTGTGGATGATAAGAAGCTGCCTGCTCAACAAGCTATGAGGAGAACCCTTCTGCCGTCTCTGAATCCCCCTCCTAATACATCAAGAAGTGCTAAGAGTGTTAGTCATGGAAACGTGAGGGGATTATAGTAGCCCAGCTGTAGGTAACAAGAATATTTTTGTTGATGGTTACTACCGTGGAGCTCATGCTGCGATTGATTGTTCTAATAAGAAGCACTAAAGTATAGCTTGATGGTGGTGAAGAGAAGAGCTTGATGCTTTTAGTTCATGTTTTCATGTATAGACTTTTAGTTCATGTTTTCATATATTGACTTTGTGGGTTTTAAAATTTTAATGGAAAACTATATGATTGTTCGATAAGTGGGTGGAACAAGGCTATATTTAAAATTTTGATTTGTAAATAACATTCTTTTGTGATTGTTCAATAAATTTGAAATTTCATAATAAAATAAAGATTGTGTTTATCAAATCTATGTATCACATCCAAATTATATTTATTAGCGATTTACTTGTGTTTTATTAGAGTGATTTATATTTATTAATGATTTTAAAAGCAATAATTCATAAATAAATAAATAAAATTTACCTTAATATGATAAAAATAAAATCTAACACTAATAATAAATTATAAAAAGAAAAAAATACCTTAAGTTCTAAACCCTAAACATGCCCTAAACCCTAACTACATATCTCAAACCCTATATCTTGAATTTCATTTTATTCATAAACCTTCAACTTTAAACATTTTAATCCAAACTCATATATATTATATATCATACAGAAATTTTCAAGTTTAAACATTATAATACAAAACCTACATAATACCCATAGTCCTACTTATACTACAAACCCTATATCATATTCCAAACTCTATACAATAAGTATTAAAATCATAATATTTTAAATTTATAACACTTATTTTATACTAAATTATGAAGTTATACAAAATATAAAGTCTAAATAAAATTAGTATATTCATAATATAACTTCAATCCTTAAATTCCAAACCACATACCTTATATTGAAGTATATCACATAAACATTAAATTTTAATTTTTAATTCACACGATTTAAAATTTTAAATACAATATACAGATTAAAATTTTAAATTATGATATCAAATATTTAAAGTTTTAATAATTTTAAAATAATTATAAATAAAAAGAAGATAATTTTTACTGTTTTTTTCTAAGCCATTGATTGATTTTTAAATCAAAGGCCCAAAATCAATATCTTATCTATCTCTACCCTTGGTTTTTATTGGTTAGGCGCGGATCATCATCTGCACCGTTAGATCGTACTGAATCAACGATTCAGATTTGTTTCTTTTTTTCCAGAACAGAACGCGTTCGAGAGAGAGAGAGAGAGAGAGAGGTCAAAAAAAAGAGAGAGAGAGGCGACTGGGTTAGTTGTGCTCGAAGCCCTAGCAAACCTCGGCCTCCTTCTCTTCCTCTTCCTCGCCGGCCTCAAGATAGATCTGAAATCTCTCCGCCGCACCAGCCAAAAGGTGAGACATCAGCCTGTTCTCAGGATCGTCTCTTCGGCCAGAGAAGCAAGAGAGAGAGAAGAGATGGAGTTTGTAGAGAAGGGAGAAGAAGCGACGGCCGCTCGTCACTACCACCACCACCATCGTTCGTTACCACCACCACCACCATCGCCATCTCTCCCGTCCCCCGTCGCTCGTCACCACCACCATCGCTACTCAGATCCGTCTTCACCGGAGTCGCCATCACCACCGACACGCTCGTCATAACCACCATTGATCACTTCTCTGTCTCTCACTCTATGTCTCTCATTCTCTCTGTATTTTTTTTTGTTCTTATATGGTTTGATGGAAGTTAAAGTTCGTTTCGTTAATTATGTGTGTTGCAGAGGTCCAAGAGGAATGAGTATGCCAAAAATATATCCAAACGGTTACAAGGTATTGTTTTAGGTTTTAGCTTGTCTGATTTGTTTCATCATTCTGTAATTTTTATGAGTTTGTTCGCTATTAAGTCCTTTAGCTTGTCTGAGTTTGACTGTTTCGGTCAGTTGATAAAGGGGCTAATATATTTTGAAATTTATGGCAATCATTGTGATACTGATCACACTTGCTCGTATGACGCTGCTACTTTCTCCTTTTGGTTCTTTGCTGGAGAAGCTGAAAAACTTTCGCTTAGTATCTAATCAATCTTCTTTGTGTGTGTTTGTGCAAGTAAAAAATGGTTAAGGGCTTTGTATGTACTTTTCATTCTGATGGGTTATTTGGTATTCAAAGTTTTTGACATTCTCAGAGTTTCCATAAATTTGCAGCAGGTAACATCATGTTCCCTTTATGAGTCCGTGCAATAACGAACTGCTTTCTCCAACTTTCCGACGCTCCAGGATGGGATGAGCTTGTTGTGATGTATGGGGCGGAGAAGCGTCGGATCTGAAGAAGCTGTGTTGTGGAGATGGCAGAGGAAGCTAACGGTGGTAGTTGTGGCGGCAATAAAAGATAGCTACATTTTCCGGAAGGGGAGGCATGATGAAGCTAGAAGCAGAGAGAGAGTGGTGAAGCCGAAGGAGTAGAGACGAAAGCTGGACTTGGAGAGGAAGAAGCTGACTGATTTTAGTTTTGTAATATTAGGTTTAGGTTTTGGTTTGGGTTAATTAGTTAAGTTTTGTAAAATTAGGTTTAGGTTTGGGTTAATTAATTTAGTTTTGTAAAACTGAATTTTATAAATATTTTTTTTTTTAAATTATAAAATCAATTCATAATTGGATGTCAAAAAAGAAAAATCAATTCATAATTATTTTTAATAAATTTTCTAATAATTAAAAATAAATTAATAACACAACACATTTGCTATCTTTGTATAGATAAAATTTAAAAACGGCTATAGTAAAAATATTATAATAACATTTTAGAGATGCTATTAAAAAAAATTACAATTGCATAAACGAAAACGTTATTACTAAAATAATATCATTAGCGGATAAAAAAACCGCTATCTAATGGACCAGACCTATTATCGCGGGCGATATTGGAGCGCTTTCTACAACGCTATTGTATCGTATGATAGCGCTTTACGGGTGCTATTAAAACCCTTATTTCTTGTAGTGGCCACTGCCTTTTTGTAGAACCATGCCTTGACCTCTTCGTTGACACCGATATACGAATTCTATTTTTGCTACAAAAAAATTATGAATAAAAAAATTTAATTATAATTAATAAAATTATTAATTTTAAATGAATAATAAATAAAATTATATTTAAAACTAACTGCGAAACACTTGAACCAAGTAACGTGAACATGGTCCGGTGTAAGAGACTAGTTCGGATGCGCATCCCGAAAGTTTGCCCTTATGATATCCCCAACGCTCTGTCCCAACACATTGTCCGCCGCAAACCTATAAATTTGAAAGAATATATTTATATCAATATATATTAATTAATTATTATATATTTATAAAATTTATACTGAATTTAATTTATTAAAAATAATTACCAAAACGTGCCGGGTCGTCGATCTGGATCGATGATTCGTAAACCTTCTCGTCCCGACATCCGTAGAATGTCTTCCACAGTATATTTTGCATATGGTGCATTCGCCGGCGCCATCAAATCTGGATGAAGAGCTGAAGGATCCGGACCAGCTGCATGAGCCGGAGCAGCTCCAGGAGCCGGACCAGCTGGATGTGGAGGCTGCTGATCATGAGGCTGCGGTTGAAAATTCTGCTGAGGCTGCTGAGACTGTTGAGGCTGCTGATCATACGGAGGCTGATGATTATACTGATGTTGGTCTGCCACATATGGAAAGTATCCAGCAGGATCATCATATTGCGGATAGTATGGAGCTTCATGAAGGTCGTATGCCCGTTGGAGCACACACTGTACACTAGGACGGCTCTCAGGAATAGTATTGTCTTGGCTGGATGATTTATCGCCTGAGGTAGAAGCTGATTGGTTGGATGACTGACCGAGAAAGGTACTCCCGTAAGAATTTCCGGACGCATTAAGGTTCTGAAGTCTCTTTCTACCGCTAGCCATAGCAATATCGTCAATTTGAAAATTCATAAACAACATATATCATTATAAGCAATTCAATTTTGTTATATTAAAA